ATGACGAGATGCATCTAGATTTTGATGTGGGAGAGAAAGCCATTCATCATGACCGGATGGGGTGCCGGATTCCGTAGCGAAGGAAATTCTTCGCTTGTTTTTTTCTTTAGTTTGCCTAGTAGAAGGATGTTCAGAGTCACTATCCTGGCTTTCTTCGTCTGGGGTAAATGCCCGGGTACGTTTGGAGACAAGACCAGGAGAAGTTTCATTAAGTTCTTGCTGAGGAGGAACATAGTTTTGAGTTTCGAAATTTTGTGAGGCGTTGTTTGAAATACCCGTGAGATGTACGGGTGAAAAAGACGACATTTTTTCTGTATAATGATTCGAATCGCTTCAATAACTTTCAAAGAAGTCAGTCAAATGCTTCTATTTATAACTCTAATTATAATAGATTAATACTATTGACGTTTTTGTTAATATTTAGAAAGAGGATTTCATGAAAAATTTAAAATTAAATCCTTTTATAAATTGTATCTTAAATAAATGTAATATATTATTGATATCAAATTGCTTGCAATGTTTGAGCATGAATTTCATTACGTCCTATTAGAGTCTGATAGAAACAGAATTTGGCCTGCCCGACATTTTTATTTAATAGTCCAAGACCAGATTTTCAACTCGGGTTGATCAAAAAAATTTGTGCATTCTTATTGGCTATTTACAAATTTGAAATCCACCGATTATAGTTTTATCCGGCACCGGCCGGAAAGATCACCTGTTTCGTGGGCTTCCCATAATGTGGTATATTCATCAATTATATATCTATAATTATATCAAAGAAAATTAACTGGATAAATATATATATATACAAATTATGAAATTAAAGAAATTATGTAAGTTACTTTGATAATATATTTAATTATATATAGGATATATGTATTAAGAAATATTATTTATGAAAATTCAAATTTTTATAATTTTGTATCCTGCATTCTCAATTGCCATTGCCATTACCATTTCCACCACTCATAGCACCGTTCATTCCATTACTATTCATTACTATTCATACTTTGTGGCTGCATAGCTGGCATCATTCCGCCATTCATTCCATTGCCGTTCATACCTAATTGCTGCATGGCTGGCATCATTCCGCCATTCATTCCATTACCATTCATAGTTGGCTTCATGCTAACCGGCATCATCGGGATAGGTTGTTGAAATGGGATAACTGGTACGAAAGGATTGAAACATCCCATTCCATAGACACGCGGCATAAAGAAACATCGTTTAGCAAGCTTTTTTGTGTGTGTTTCGGATATTTCTTTAGGAATATGAATTAGTGCTGTCGGAAGTGTAAACGATTCGTTTGAGAAAATAACAAGAAGAAAATATGAAAAGAAAAGGAGTTTAAAGATGTATGAACAATGCATTTTGTGAATGTTTCGTTTTATTCTGTGATTTAGATTTTAGTTCTATTTATTTTTTAATTGTTTGGTGGACTTCAAAGGTAAGCAAGTAAAGCTATTATATATCTATTTCAAGTTATTGAATATGCTAAAGGCTTTATTTTATTTTGAAGCAATTAAGATAAATTAGAAAAAGCCAGTAATTTTATCATTATTTGCGATTAAAAACGATTGCAAAATAGAATTATGTAATTTAAGTAATTTTAATATAATTAGTATATAGCCTAGCTACATCTAAAGTATAATTTTACTTAGACTTGGCCGGGGAATCTTTATGTTTGTTATATTAGTTTTGTGAAATACAGTATTTTTTAAAATATTACTGTACATGTCTTATTTAATCAATAAATACTTAGATATTTATCTATCGTCCCGAAATTCCAACCTCCCGACAACCCAACTTCGCGACAATCCAACCTCCCGACAATCCAACGTCCAGACAACCCAACATCCCGACAATCCAACTTCACATCCCGACAAAGCCAACTTCCCGACAATCTAACTTCCAGATATCAATTTATATTTTAAATAAAGTTCTGTTATTCTATAATAAATGCTCTTATAAAAAGCAAAAATTGAACTAGTTTGTCTGGAAATTATATTGCGGGAAGTTGGATTTGTCGGGAAGTTGGATTTGTCGGGAAGTTGGATTGTCAGGAAGTTGGATTTGTCGGGAAGTTGGATTGTCAGGAAGTTGGATTTGTCGGGAAGTTAGATTTTCGGGAAGTTAGGTATGTCAGGATATTAGATTGTCGGGAGATTAGAATTCGGAAAGTTGGCTTATCGGGAAGTTGGATTGTCGGGATGTTAGGTTGTCGGGATGTTGGACTGTCGGGATGTTGGACTGTCGGGATGTTGGGTTGTTGGAATGTTGGGTTGTTGGGTTGTTGGGTTGTTGGGTTGTTGGGTTGTTGGGTTGTTGGGATGTTGGGATGTTGGGATGTCGGGTTGTTGGGTTGTTGGGTTGTTGGGTTGTTGGGTTGTTGGGATGTTGGGTTGTTGGGATGTTGGGTTGTTGGGATGTTCGGGGATGTTGGGTAGACCCAACTATACATACAGTACGGGCTAACGATAAAATTATCATTTTTATAAATTTCGATACCAAAAATCTCATGTAAAAATAAAAAAATTATATTTGATCTTAATATCTGTTCATAAATACAACTTAGTATATGTATATTACTGTCACGGTACAAGCGTGGATGGGCGGAATTAAGTAATTTTTGTCTGTGACTAGTGTTGGGAGAGAGTGATTAGACTGTTTATGATTATTTGATCCAATTTCTGTACCGATATCGTTCTGTGTATGCGTTTCAAAGAAAGAATAATGTGATTTGGTGCGTGAGAATTAGAGAGTTTGGGATTATGTACAGCGTGGGAATGAGAAGAATAATGGTTGATGTTTAGTGGAGTATTTCGAGAAGGGATTGTGCTTGTTAACTATTAGCTATTCTAATTCTTTCTAGCCAAAAGCCTTAAACTCTTATTAATTAAATCAATCATTTAATTTACTGATGCGTTTGCCTTTTCCGGATCAAAGGACCTAACCAATACGTTGTCTTTTTGGCGCAAAGAAACTAACTACTCTATTATTATTATAATTATGATGCCTTTTGCAAAAGGGTTTTAACAAGAATTTTATTACTTGGAGAAAAATTGTACACAAGTTTATTTCTATTTTATTAAAGACCCGAAAGTCATTCGTTATATACATTTTTTGTCAGCCTTCTCTATTTATCGTCATAATTCTTATTACATTGAAAGAGCACAGTAATAATAGTAATAATAAAATAATAAAGTATAACTAAAGAAAGAATTGCGTCGAACATCGCGAGCAATTGTGCTGAAAAAGTTGAGCGATTATGCTGATATATGCAGACGGTTGTGCTGAAAAATGGTTGAGGTGTTACATGTAAAAAGAATATGTCGAGAAGTATTCATTCGTAACATAATTCGGAAATTAAAGTTGGTAAATTGATCATGACATGAAGCACAGCAATATTTTAATCCCTTATTTTGTCAGGTATATTTTTTTAAAAAAAAGTTACAATAAAACTTTTTATTTTATAGTTGCACTTTAAATTCATCATCGAATAACACTTTTTCCCTCGTATTCCTTGATATATGAGTATAAATTTGTTTTTCTTTTAAAAACAATACTCAAATAAAAAACCAAGTGTCACTACGCGTGTTGGGAATAGTGCGGGTGCCAAGACGTGAGTTTCTTTTTTCGGAACAATTAGCAGCCTTAAAAAAAATGTAACTTCAAGCTTTTATTTGCTTGTTTTTTTAACTGTAACAGGCTGGGGGCAAATCAATCAGTTTCTAATTCTCATCCGCGTCGTCATTGTTATCGTTACATCGTCATCATCGTCGTCTTTTGTCATTGTCAATTTTGTCATCGCCGAAGGTAGATTTGATAAAGTCATCAAGTTCTTCAGCAGTTGATCTGTTTTCTGAAATAGGATTGCAACATTTTCATATGCACCATCCGGGAATATTACATGTAAATGTATTTATAGTGAAGGTCGTACTCCTTTATAGATTTTGATCTCTATCATAATTTCGTCCATAGAACGGTGGTTCACCAGTTACATACCAAAGCTATAAATATCTGTTTATGGCTACCTCAGGTAAAGACACACATACGCAGAAAGAGAAAAATTTTGCCAGAGTCAACAATTTATCCGCAATATATTCCCATTCATTTTATCGATATTGTTCCATTCCAGCAGCGAGCATCGATAATATTCTGAAGGACACGACTGTGACAAATAAATAATCATATTAATCAAATTTGTTTAATAAGAAGTGAAGTTAGTAATCACTTGATAATGAGTTATTTTTGTTCTTGCATATTAGTAGGATTTATATTTTGATTTTAAACGTTCTTCCCTAATTTAATTTAATGGACATTACAGAGCATATCAATGCAAAATACATGTAAAAAGAAAGAAAAATCACATAACAGAACTTGCTAAAATCGTTTCTTCAATCACACAACAAATCCGTCACAGAAAATTAAGAGTATAAAATCAAAGAAAAATCACGAGACCGTCACGCCCGCCGAAGTTCGTCATCATCTTGGTAACCGCGTGTAGAATCTAAATCACAAAAAAATTTTGTAATCATAAACAAATTTCGATATGTTTTACAATTACCTTCGAAACCGTCGAAGCATGCCAACACCAGCAGAAACCTCCGGAAAAGAATCTGATAATTGAAGGGCCTAATATCCGAAATAAATTTATAAACATAATAATTCACAGTAATGTTGGCTTATTTATAATTACCCGCTAAGCTGTCGAAACACACTAACACCCCTCGTAGACATGGCGAGCAAAGAACCTGATCAACATTGGTAGAGTCTAAATATCCAAATAAATTTATCATTCATACAAACTATTATGATGTCAATACGACTTATAATTACCTGAAAAACCGTTAAAACATGCCAACATCTCTGTAGACTTGACCGGCAAAGAACTTAGGAAACACTTGCTAGAGCCTAAATATCCAAAATAAAAAATTTTATAAGCATAGTTCATATGAAATATCTAAAAATAACAAATGAACATACATCACGCTCACAACTCCATCAAGATGCTCTGTTTCCTCTTGTGCATCGTCCTCTTGATAAAAACCTGTTCCTTGCAAGAGAACGTCCGGAATGCGTCCTTCGCTGGTGAGTGTCAGCCACTTAATCATACGTTGCGCTGTCTGTACATTAAAGACTTCGGCAACGAATGACTTCCATTCGGCGTTCCCTGCAGTGCCAAGTTGTGTCGCTGTGAATCCTAGTCCCGAAAGCACCTCCCAGTCAATATAGAGCGAAAGATATCGAAGGCGCAATGCAGCGTGATAAATGCGATACTCCCGCGCTCGTCGGGCTTGCTCACTACCATCCATCTTACTAATAATGTAGTTGATGATAACGCTGCGTTGTTCCTTGCGCACAGCAGCTGGTTTGGCCGACAACACGAGTTTTGCACACTCGCGATACACGTAAATATACATATATGACGCCTCAATCGCATGATCTGAGACTGCTGCAGTGGCGGTGAAATCGTTCATGATTGGGCTTAAAGTACCGAACAGTTTCTCTGTCTCCGCCAGAAATGCCAGTTTATTATCTTTTCTGGCGAAAAATTCCGAGTCCTTCAAGCTGGGAAATATTTGAGGTTCTTCTTCCATGAGCTTAATGAATGCAGCTCGCTTCTCTCCCGGAATGTATGACAGCTGAGTGAGGACTTTGCTAAACGGTACCAGTGTGCGTTGATATTTAACAACCGGTGCTGCTGTTTTATTATCCTCATCTTCACTATCCCTATTCTCGGAGGAGCGCTTGCTGCCTCGGACTTCCTCGCTTTGATCATCACCTCCGCCATTAGATTGATCAAGCTGGTCGTCCGTGTCCTCAACATCCTGGGATTGCTTGCCAAGCTCGTTAAGACCAGTGGTTCCTGTCGTTGCATCATTATGACGGGTGCGAGGGCGGTAACTGCTGTCATGGTGACGTTGGTGATGAAATCGGCGGCGACAGCGGTTGTTGCTATCGCTGTTGTTGTTGTTGTTGTTGTTGTTACTGTTGTTGTCATCGTTGTCGTTTTTGTTGTTGTCGTTGAAATTATTGTTGTCATTGCCATTGTCGTCATTGCCATTGTCGTTATTGCTATCGTTATCATAGTTGTTATCCTCATCGCAGTTACCACCTTCACCTTCCACAGCCCCTGATGAATGCTGACGCAGACGGACCAGTGATAGGTCTAGATTCTTGGCGAGCCTTCTCGCCAGCGATATTTAAGATATGATAGCTAGTTGCTACATCGCTGAGCGCATCACTAGCCGTCCTTATTTTTTCGTCAAGCTCAAGTATTTTAATAAGACACTGTTTCCGCTCGGACATATATTCTGAGAGCTTGTTTTTCTAAAAATAAATGGGTTAATGTTATTGATAATCGACTTACCCTTTGAATTATCTTGATCAGCTGCATCCAATAAAGCTTCAGATCATCACTTCGTGGTTCAAACTCTACCTGTAGGATGTATTTTGTTAGCAACGCCGAGTATTTCAAATAAAAAGAAAAAAGGCAGGTCACAATGAGATCTCAGAGTAACTTCCAATATCCTGAATCAGTGCCATTCTTACAGAGATCCTGGACAAGTACCGCAACTGATACTCAAGTCGATTCAGTGAAAATACATTACACTATCTACCAAGTACCTTTGCATCTTCCTTTATGGGGTAGGGGAAATTTCCATCGAAAGGAAGCGAATTACACAATGTAATTGCAGCTAATGCTTTACAATTAATACTTGGGACAGCATAACAACTGATACTCTTGAGTCAGTAAATACCAGTCGGATCTCTGTACAATCACAATCCAATTATAGCCCACTCTCTAGTCTTACCGTGCACATGCTACAGGCATAAAGAGACGCCGGACCTGTTGCAACTTAAACTTGGATTGGCACAGCAACTGATATGAACAGTGAATATTGTCGGTTCTCTACAATCACACCCAGTACAATCACATAGAAGAAATGTTGACTGTACCTTTGTCTGTAGATCAAGTTCATTTGCGATAACCACGAATCGTTTACACCAGAGTTCGTGAAGCATATACCAGTTATCAGTAACTGGTGATGAATCGACGATATCATCACGATGTAAATTCAGAAATTCATGGTATAGCCATGGTATATTGCGGTTGAAATAGGAAGGAAAACTAGGTAGTTTGGAGTTGATTAGGAAGCGGGAAGAGAATTATGAATCAAAGGTTGAACTAATATTCATAAAGCCTATCATGATAGGGAAGTTCGTTCATAATAATACTAAAAAAGGTTTAAAAAAAGGTTTGTTAGTTAAAAGTTACAAGTTAAATAGTTTTTTTTTTGACGTTTAAATAAAAAAAAGACGCGAAAATGATATTCACTAAAACGCGTGTTTGTTTATGTGGCTTGTGTATTACGTGTACATGTATAAACAATATCACGTGATATATACTACACTTTGTCAGATCTTGTGATTTACATGTATTTTTTCGTTACACATTGATTGATCTTATGATTTGAAAAATTCATATATTTTCTCCAAAAAATTGCTTACAGTCCGGAAAATAGCGACAGAAAAATTTTTATCATATAACTAACCTCCTTTTAAAAGAGACTGGCATGAAAAAAATACATGACACTCTTTGAACCTTTATTTCGAAATGTATGTCCAGCCATTGAAAATTACCCCGGTCTGGGCAGAATTTGATAATTGTGATAGAGTCGATCATAAAAAACATAAAAAGCATCAATTTATCTCGCGATAACACAAAATTTTACCAAGACGAGACGACGAGTCTTTGCCCATTAGTAAAAAATGTTCAGCTTAAAAAATTGTATTAGGAATAATTATTTCTTAGTTCATAAATTATAAATTGTGAAAGAAAAATTAAAATAACATTATTAGTTATAGTAGATCTGATTTTTTTAACAACTCAAATTGCAATTCGAACCTGTATTGCATAGAAAGAAAACATATCATGTGTTGATTTTTATAAAATATGATGCCTTACTTAGTAGATGAATTTTTTTATATAATGTCTTTAAAATTGTATCCGAATTTTAAAAAATAGCCGCCATTTTTTCTTGCGGATGTATCATAACTATTATTTTAAGAAAAATATTGTTTAGATTCGGAATCCTTCGAAATGTTAGTGATGTCTAATTGATCTTACATTAAGGATCTCTTTAAATCATTAAATCCATCACTAGCAATCAATAATGTATTAAATTAATACCTTATATTTGTACATTGGTTTATATGTCATTATAATAAACTACTTCCTACTAAGTAACATAGTTTACAGATTAAGAAAAACTAGTTATTATACTTTCTATTGGTTGGAACTAACACACGATAGGTAAAGAGTGAATACTTCTAAAGGAATTCATATAGAATTTGCATAAACATCCAGTTCACTTGGTAGATAATAGTAATCAACAAACGATTAAAGGCAATAATATTGCAAAGTTTGAAATTTTAGTTAAAATCTATTTATTGTTTATTTAGGACAACCAGTTATTTATAAATATAGTAGTTCAATAAAAATTTATATTATTCTGTATTAGCAGAAGATAAATTCATAATTTGTAAAAATTCATTTTATTTCGAAATTGAAAGCATCAAGATTAGATAAAAAATTCCGTATACTCGGATTCTGCCACTTCAAATTATAAAAAAAACTTCCTTCCATTGATTAGTATGTAAGTTTATTTGGTGTATAAGAAGAAGTCATATGAAAGAACTCTTCTTTTGTTGCATTCGCTATCATTTTAAAATACAGTCAAGACTCGATATAATGGCATTTATTTTTTGAAAGAAAATAACGAGGCTAACAAACAAGCAAAAATGAATAGACAAAAAAAATGAGTAGAGAGAGAGAAGAAAGTAAGAGAAAAGAAGTGAATAAGAGAGAAAAAATAAAGAGAAAGCAAATGAGACGAATGAAACCTTTTATAAATAAATCAATCGTATGTTTTATGGAAATATTTGTCGTGACGAATTTGTTTATTATCCGATGGGATTAATAATTTTTTGAGGTCCTATGTTTTGAACAGACATATCAATATTGGAATTTATATTATTCCCACAGTATTAATATTATATACGTCATGTTGGGAAAAATCATTATTATAGTCTTGCAAATGATGTAAACTCAATCATCAATGACATGTATTTGATATTACATTTATTTTTTTACAATTTTTTGCTTTTTTATGTATTTGCAGTAGTACTTAAAATGTAAATTGTTCAGCTTGTTATTGTCTGCTGGATAACGAGTAGAGAGGATAAAGTCATGATTTTCCTCAGCAGTTGGTCTGTTTTTTGGAATAGGATCCCAGCATGTTTCAATAATAAATTTGCACCATCCGGAAATATAGGTTTCTATATCGGCTCGAATGCTAAGTCTATAATCAGCAATTTGAGGACGTTTAAGTATTAATAATATATTTCCAGGATGAAAGTCACGATGCATAAAGTTCGCTCTGTGAATATTTGTTAGATTTCCGATAATATTAAATATTCTAATTTTTTTCCAAGTCAATCTTTCGTAGTTGGAATATATTTACGGAAATCACATCTTTTCATAATTCATCACTATTGAATATTCATTTGTAACTGCATTTTTAGTTATTCTAATTTTGAAAAAATTGATTGTATTAGAAACAAAAGCAACTTTTCACTGTGAAAATATTCATTTTTTACCTCATATGTAAATTCTCGAATTAATTTGCTTTGAATTATGTAATGATTTCAATACAATTTTAATTTCTCCATCTCGAGCAAATTTATCGACTTCATGATCCCAATAAGGATAACTCACTTTTCCATCCAACCAGGTTGCTTTATAAATCATCCCAAAACCTCCTTTTTCAAGATATTCAACTTTGGCAATCTTTCAATTCGAATATATCAGCATCAATAATGTGTACATGTATATCGTTGTGAACTGTTGCTAGAGTTTCTCCGATTTCTTTTCGGAAAAACCACACTTTCAAGCGCCAACTATCTCACTATGCTCGAAATCCGTAAGCTGATAATTTATGTGTGTTGGTTTGGCTTGACATGTTTTTCACGTCATTTGAAAGCTTACGATTTCGGCTTTCTAATAGTCAATGTACATTATAATTGGACTCTTGCGTGTTGTACAATTAACGATTAAATTCATCCATTATTTGCGTCGATTCCAAACTTTTGCGAGTGTAGATAAAGTAACATCCTGAGACCAATATCTTCGGTAAATGTTAGCTATTGTTTCAGAAGATAACGTATAGTTAAAAAAAACTGTACTATACTCTTAACCTTGGAGATCGGTATCGAACGTTTTATCATAGGACTCGAATCTTTATCATTTCTGTGATTTTGGAATTGGGCTTGTTCCAGATTACATAACGATAGTGCATGTACATAACATCCGACAACAACACAAAACAAAAAAATTATACATGTACTTATCATTATCGTTATATTTTATTGCTAATTTTTTGCTTATATTAAAAAAAAGTATAAGTATTAGTATTAATTAAAACTCTAAGCTAATTACATATTGGATATTATATTACATATTAGTTATTAGTTATTAGATATTAGATTACATATTACATGTAGTTCTTTATAATTATATACGCAATAAAGAAAATCGATCTTTTAAATGACTTGATAACTTGGCAGTTGTTCGTCAATCGTTGCATTAGCATTAATATTAATCGTAGGATTTATAATTTTAATTTCGGTTTCTAGTTCAACGTCATCCGCATTTCCCAACTTCAAAAGTACCTTTAAAAAATGCCTGATTTGGACATTCGATGTCTTCATCGAACAAAAAACTTTATCTTTTCCGGGAACCTCCACAGCAATCTGAACACAACTTTCATTCTTAAGCCCTGGTAAAATAGCAATCGCAGTACCTTTGACAGACGCACACGTCACCTCGCGTTTATTTAATTTGCTCGTGATCCCGTCTGCGCCAATAACGTATCGTTCTTCTAAAATGCATAAAATTTTCTTTAAATTGATTCGTGCGTCGTGGAAAATCAGGTTTAACGTCGCGTTTAATTTACTATTTAGTGGCGTTTTTCGTTGCGCTAGTGAAAGGTCGTAGCCTATACCACGGGATATTGCTTCTTCGTCGTCATATGATGAAAGATAATGTGCAGAATTATCAATTTGCCAGGGTGTTGGTGGTTTAGAATATCGATCAAGTGGGCAATTAATTTTTAAATTGATAACTTTTCTTTGTAGTCTCCAAAAATCTGGTTTTTGATGAATCGTCGCTTTCAACGTATAATAAACATTATAAAATTGATTCTCAGGCTTTAATGAGATTGTCGGTTCTAAATTTGCAGGTAAATCGAATTGAAATGGTAAATCAAGCCGATCGATTTCTTGAAATTCTCCGTGCAATGCTGACGACCAAAGATCAAGAGTTTCGGAATATATAGTTTGATCTTTATAAATTTTCTCGCTCTTTAATCTAGTGGAGTTGAAATTCAGGGGACTTTGCTCAAACTCTATTTTCAATTTTCCGGTAAACGCAAGCGTTATTTTCGTGGCGAGTAAAGGTCGTGCAAGCGAGTATCGAAGATGAAGTGTTCCACAAATGGAAGCATCTTCTACTCCTAGGAAACCTTTTTGAAACGAATTTTGGGTGGCTGGATAGGTGAAATAGATTTTTCGATTGTGTGGCAAGGGTGTACTTGTTGTAGATGAGATGGTGTTATCAATATGATTATTGTCATTAGCAAATAACGAATCATAATCAGGTGGTGATGCGCTGCTGTCAGATTCAGTCATCTTCTAACTGTTAAAAAGATTCAGATTTAAAGAGGAATGATGAGAGAGGACGAATATTTCGCAATTTCTTTTGCATATTACGACTTTTTGGAGCAACAACAACTGCTTAAATTTATATAAAGTTGGCGTATTCTGTGAATACTACTGCATGCTTAGGTGACCAATTATACTTCAGTGTTAGTGTGCGTTTTTGTGCTTGTGCTAGAAATGGACAATCAGCTAATTGTTTCAAGATTGTCACTAACGCTAAGTGATGTTATTACTTTTTATTGGTATTGTTCTCTTGAGTCACGTTCGGTCATTCGGGTGCAAACAATTAATAGATAGAGCTACATGTAAAGGGTACGTATCACATATTTCCGGGTTACTGTGCTGCACAGTGTCTCGTCTGCAGATTGACGACATTCTTATAAATAAGCAATCAGTGGTTTATATATCCGACATCGATGCACAATTATTACGCTAAATGAAGAATTTGATTAAAAGTCTCGAATTCCATAAAATTTTTGTATGCTTCTTTCTACTACATGTAATTGTCATAATCCATCATTATTTTATCGCAAATAAAAAATCATGCAAACTTTATTCTTTTTCAAGTATTTATCTAGGAAATTTAAAACTTAAAGCAAATTACATTTCTAAATTAACAACTCTGAAAGTTTAAATTTTAAACTTGATATTAACGCACATGTACATGTACATCTATTACATGTATGTAATGCCAAGAAGTCTAGATTCATCTGAACACAGAGCATGCAATCAATTGTGGGATGTTCAACATACGGATTTAGATTTACAGGTACATAACGAGTTTACGGTGACATCAAAGCTAAATCAATGAATCGATACTTTCTAAATTTGGGGCAAGTAATGTTTAACGTTAAAAAAATTTTATACAAATGAAACAACCAATAGGAATTCAATACATTATTAAATAATCAATAGGCGGGGACACCCGTTATGATTTTGAAAAATTCCAAAATTGAATTTTAATATTCATATATTTATTAGACTTTTTGATTTGATGTCCCGATTTATTATGCAATAATGCACACTAGCATAGTGATCGACAAAATCGATAAATACCCACAGAAATGTAAAAACACCTACTGGCAATATGAAGATTTTATTTTTCTTTGATGTGATTCTGTAGCTTCCGAGATATGTAATTATAGAATGTAATAAATGCATAATGCAAAAAGTCGAAAGTTTCTTATTTACGGGACTTATCATTTATCGTAATTTCCTTCAAAAACCAAAAGTTTCTAATTATCGTGGGTTGCCTATTTTCAGTCATATACGGTATATTGTTGCCGTCGCAACATGAAACCCGTGATCTCGACAATTATCTCGTGTGTCGACTACATACGTGATAATAAATTCTGGAACTTATTACATTTCGGTGTAAATTGATTCATCCAAAACACATTTAATCAAATTTGGTACATACTGTACATGTATTATAATGGAATAAATGTTCGATGTGAAAGATAATTTGTTTTCTAAGCATTTTACAAAGTTTGAAACATTAAATTTTCTTCACTACGGTATAACTTATATATTTAGTCATTTTAAATTATATAATATATGTATAATTTGTACGGTTAAATTTGATTATACAATACATGTATTAGGAAAGCGAAATGCTCTAGAGATTCATATTTAAATTATCATACCTACTCTTATCTATATTAGACGTCGGGTATCTTGTCAAGTGGATACGTAGAGAATTATGTAGGATGATGTAAGCGCATACATGTATACAATCTGTTCACACAAATTTTGTAACATTAAATCAATCAAATTATCTATACATATACCAAACTATAAAGTATGTAAAATTACGTGTATTATGTGATGTAAAGTATCTGTACCGTACGTCAACCTTAGGCTACAAGAGATATGTCTAATCCGTTGGTGTAAGCAGCAGATAATTCAGGTGTGGAGGCTTGCAAGCTAAAACTATACATAGTACATACAGTAGGTGCTTGCTTCAACCATGGATAAAGGGAGGATGACAATAAAGGGAGGTAAGAAATCGATTAATTGTATTGGAAATTCATTTTTTTGATGAGTGAGATATTATTTGAAGAATGGTTGGTTGACTTGTAACTTTTATCTTTTTAACAATTAAAAGTGCACCTCCTATTCATAAGATAAAATTAACACTTAAAGCATTCGATATCAATTTACGCCTGTAACCATTCATGACACTACATTTTTCTATGATGTTGAATGAGAACACAAACATGTACCTGTACATGAAATGATAACGATAATTAAAACGAACGCGATAATCGTTATTCTTATACATGTACATGTACTATCGTACTCAACTCAAAAGTTAGGTTGGCTAAAAATTGAAGATGTAACAATGGTCGGGGGGCTAGACTAAATGATTTACACAGAGTGGGTAAAGGTAAAATACAAATAGCTTCCAAAAGAATAAAAACTAATCACATCAACTTTTATGGCAAACGAGGTAAACCTTCGATTTGGTTAAGCACAAAAGAAATAAAGCTATCATTTTCGTTATGGCACAAAAGAAACAAAGGCCGTAATTAGGGAAGAGTAGGATAATTTTTATTAGTTATTTCTTCAAACGCTGCATTTCATGTCTCTCAGATCTTTGAGATCTAACTAACTAGCTAGGTTACAAATCATAATCTAGTACAGGTTTCATGGATCTCAACACAAAGTGTAAAATTTAGCAAGAATCTTTTTACAAAAAAAGATTGTCTATGCTTCGAAGCAAAAGTTTATAATGAAGTTTATGTAATAATAAAAATAGAATAAAACTATCATGAAGTTTTACAAGAAAATTTTAATGATTTTGGATGGATGGAGATAATATATGAAATATGAAAATTTCTATTGATAATCAAACTCGGAAATGTGGGATTAATGTATTACTAGGTAAAAATTTTTGTAACGTACACTGGACATGTTTCCATATTGATACATGTAATTTTTTGATTATGAGCGTAATAGAAACGGTATAAATTATACATGTATTAGAAATTTTCATAGAATTTACATGAACAGACACTAACTTTGATTTTGAATTTTCTTTTATACATTGACTTTGCGATTTGATTGGTTTACTCTTAAATGTCACATAAAAGTCACTTTTTTGCTGTGGCTAGTGTATTAAAATAGAGATTCGCATGAAAATTCGGCGATATTTTTTGAGGATATCGTTACATTATACAATATCCCACAAAGTATTGCCGGTTCAAAAATTATATGGTAAATCATATAAACAATGGAAAATTTCAAGCTATATACACATTCAAGTTTTTTCGAATAATTAATCTGAATTTTATATCATTTTAAAGCTCATGAATTATATTTAGAAAGATGATACAAGACTGGTGGCAATTTAAAGCGCAAAGACCATTTTGATTGTAAAGGAAAAAAATTTTCCCACGCTTTACATATAAAATTTGAAATTTTCAAAGCTATATACATATTCATATTTCTATTAGTAATTATTTCTAACTTTTGTACCATTTAAAATTAATCAATTGTAGTTTTCAAAAAATGATTTCTAGCTGTGAACGACTTAAGATGCAAGAACTTTTTAATGTTTAATTATAAAATCATGGAAAAATTTTTATATATAAATTCAAATCGGGCGATACTTTTGGGATACTGCACATGTAAAAATATATGAACGTTAAAATAGTTTCGGAGATAAATTTATGGATATATATTTATCTCATAAAATGTTCGAAATCAACAAAAAGATATTGTTCAAAGAAATTGAAAAAAATTCTTTCATCATCATCGTCTACTCTAGCAAACGACTACAATACATGTACTATTTTCTATGATTCATCAAGGTCGAAAGAATCGAGAAAAATAACATAGAAAGAAAACGACCAACTGAATTCTAGGATAGTTCAAAACTCGATCCAGAATTATCATCAATTGACGTTGTAAATAATCAGATGGATTGGAACTTGATATTAGCGACAGATGCAAATATAATTGTAAGCGTTAAAAATAAAATTTAATTATTTATTTTTTTTTTAAATTATAATTACTTACTCTTTCAATCTTTTATTTTATATATATAATTTAATTATAATATAAATATTCAAATTATAATTATAATTTTCAAATTCAAATTTTAATTATTTTTTTATATAATAATAATATATAATTAAATATAATTATAGTTATATTTTAAGTATTTAATTATAATTAAAAAATCTATAATCAATTTTTTCTTTTTTAAAATCAGTAATTATAAACAGATTTGATTATAATATTATTTTAGAAATCTTGAAATTTTTTATTATAATATTATTATTATTTATTTTTTAAACTTTAAGCTTTATATTTAATCAAGATTTTTAATTTTCTTTATTATATTTTTTATATCAAATAAAATATTAATAAAGAATTCTAGCTTGATTTTTGAGAAAATTAATCAGATATACTTGATTATTATTGGATTAAATTAAGATAAATTAAATAACATTAAATTATCAACTTTAAATTATTTGATATTAATAATATTTATTATTTATAAGTAATAAAAATATAAATAAGATTTTATATTATCATGCTTGAAAAAGCAAAATTAAATAATTATAAAGAGATATAATTATAGAGATTTTTTAATTATAGTTAATTAGTAATTGAAAAACTCAAAAAAGATAACTATAAAAAAAGATAACTATAAAAAAAATATGATTATAAAGAGATCTAATTATAATTATTACTATAACTAATTTATATACTTATTAATTTGTCTTGTTTATATAGTAATATTATAGTAAATAACTAATTTTTATATTTCTTTAAGATTTTTAATGCTTGATAATTAATTTTTATCTTTGTAATAAATTTAAAATTATCTATAAATTAAATAACTTGATTTAAATTCTTTATATTTATGATTTATTTAATTATATTTTTAATTTAATGTTATAATCTTATACAAATTTAATCTAATAATAAAAATATAATTGATAATAAAAGTATTATTA